TTGTGTCATTTTAAAAATCAAAGCTGATTTTATTCAATAGTCGGGCACTTGACACGAACCCATTATAGAATGATCGCGTGGGAGACAGCGAAAAGGCGGCGCCGATGGTCACCCCCAGGTCACGCCGGACAATAGGCAACTGCGTTGAACAGCCTGACCACCTCGCATCCCTCCGAAATCGTGTTCTGAAACCTTCACTAACAGGACCCCAAAATAAAATTAAAGGCTATCACAATATTTTACTTCATAATCGTTTACTGAGGCTACAAGAACAAGTTTGAAGATGAGGGCTATCCTAACCACCCTCGTTGGTTTCACAGCCTGCGCAGCCGTTGCTGCAGACGAAGCACCTGAGTATCCTTCTCAGCTTGCAGTTGAAATCGATCCAGAAGCGATTATTGCGATCCAGCAAGATGCAAACGCCGACCCACGTCTCTTTTTCCCACTGAGCGGGCTTGTCTCCGCCAAACTTGCCAAAGTCTTTCAACCCAACATATACCCAACCCCTCCTAATCCCCAGACAACTTACCACTTTCACCTCCATCCTCATCCCCATTATCCGCATCCTCAGCCAAATTATCCTCATCCCCATTCTCATCCTCATCCCCATCATCCTCATCCTCATCCCCATCAACATCCTCATCCTCATTCCGACCATCATCCCCACCATCATCCTCACCATCATGAACATACTGTTCATGTGCCTCAACATCAGCACGCTCAACACAACGGCCACCAGAACCACGGTGGCCCAGCTCATTATCACCATGACTACCATTTTGCGCATCCTCATCAAGAGAACCAGCATCACCGCGAGGAAGAGCAGCTTACCGACATCAACTAAGCTATCGGTCGGGAATTAAGCCGCCTAGTCTCAGTAGTCAGTACAGTACTAGGCGACGTCTGAGATCTTCATGGTGAAGAGAGGGACCAGCCACCAAGCTGACTCGGCTATGTTTCATTAGACAGACTTAAATTTAAAGGGCCCCAGTTTCAGCCTCTGCAGGTCTGCCCCTGAAAGCACGAGAGGGGCCTAAAGGGTGATTGGCGTTGCAAATGCAGCTACGAATGCAGCTGCAAAGTGCCGCCTCAAATAAGGGACAGGCTTCCCGCCCAAATTTTTGGATAATACCTATCAATGCTTTGAGAAAACATAGAAAACAAAAGCACTGAAGAACGTCCATAGTCGGTAGTCTTAGGGGCATGCTGTGTGCTAAAATCCCATCTAACCTTCAGTTACACCTGATCGTTACGAAGTACACACCACCGGTCACCCTCAACGCGCACCACTAGAGCGACTGCTGCTTTAGGGATGCAGCGAGATGTCGACTTAGAGGTCCTACATTAAAGGGTCGCCATCGTAAAAAATTTGGAAGACTCTGCCGCCATGTTACAGGGTTCTTAATCGCACAGGGAGTGGTAGTCGTACAAAAGGCCTGCATTAAACATTTCAGCTTGAATCGTCACTGGAGCATCCGCCCGTTGCTGCTCTTCTGTGCCTTTTGCGTGAGGATCCACAAGCGAGTACATTGGCTTCCTTTGGGTCCGTCCTGTCTGCCAATGCTTGGCGCTCCACTCCTGAAGTGCCGTCAACCAGACGTGTCCTGCAAAGTGCAAGCATTGCCTCTGCATGAGCGCATCGTGAATGAACTACGCGAAGACAGCTATCGCATGTTCGAGCCCTGTTAAAAATGCAGCCGGCAGTAGATCTATGATTCTCTGCAGTACTCACCGAAACAAAACATCCGCATGCGAGAACATTCCCTCCTTCAGTGAGACTATCAAAAACTGGGACGTGGGGAACTGTGTCTTAATCATGCTACCTGATGACCGAAACCGGCAGAACGTAGCAACCAACCGCAGAAGTTCTTCCATTCGAGTACCTGGAAATGGGGATTCTTGCACTCGCGAGCATATTAATACAATCTAGTTGACGTGACCGCTGAACACTGTTGCGCGCGGCAGCCCAGTGTGTGATCGAAAACGTACCAATGTTCTGAGTGTGGGACAAATCTAAGGCGGCGTCTACTTCGTCGAGAATGTAAACGGGAGCAGGCTTCACTTTAAGAAGCGCAAGGATTAGTGAGAGAGCCAAAAGCGACCTCTGACCCCCAGAAAGCTCTGAAAGAGAATCTTTCCATTTGTGGTGGAACGCTATCTGCACACAAAAGGCAGACAGATTCTTTCCACTAGTGGCGAAGGGCAATCTGCACATCAAATGCAGCCACGGCTAATGAAGCATCCGTAATGTGCTACGGCGAAATTGTGCTCAGACGTGGCTACGATACCAAATTAGGAGTATCTCTGCTCTACGAAAAGGCCTTTTGATATTCCAGAGGATGAGTACAACATTAATGCGTGGAGTTACCTACAGTCAGGGCATTTACTGGTGAAACATATTCACCATTCACACACACCAGCCGAACATACGCACGTGAAAAGGTGATACGACTCGCAATGCCTATCTTGTGAAACAGTATCATTATCGCTAGGCTTTCTTTCAGTAAATTACCTTCATTTCTAGCCCTTTCATCAGGTCATCGGGGTCCACCTGAACAAGCTTGGCCTGCGCATTAGGTAACAGCTGCTCAAATATGGCCGCAAAATTCCCGTCAACAAGACGCCATGTATTTCCTAAGGATTTCTGTTTTTTTTCGTCGAGCGATGCAATAACCTCCCGTATCTTTTCCTGAACATGGGTTGCAGCGGACAGCTGGCTGGGCACTGAGCAACGTCTAGTTGTTTGTTCAAACATATACAGATATACTTGAAGACCCGGCTACTGAAACTAATGTGAAGGACAGAAGCATGCACAGTCTTTCCTAAAAAGGAGATAATACCAAGGAAAGAAACCAGATAAAGAGAATAAAGGATTGATACGCGCATAGATACCCGGTCTGCTTCCACTTGGGCCTTTCGACTTAAGAGGATTTGTAGCTCAGCCTCGGTTTTCTCAAGTAATGTTCCAGCAGAGCTATTTACATTTTTTCTCAACCGGTCAATATCGGCCTTCAGCTGCTGAATACGCTGGCGTGCAGCTGAACACGTGGCATAAAGCACAACAGCTAAGCATATCTTGTGGTGAGAACAACTTTCCAACACCAAGAGGTATGCAAGGCTTCAAAAAATGGTAGAAAGCACGATGCGCGTAGAAAAGCTAGCTTACTTTCAGGTCGCAATTGTTTGAAGTCATACGGGGTGCCGGTCTGGTTGAACTTGGGTTCCTCCGCCACAAGCCACTCGTGGGCTGAGAGCAAATTTTTGACGTCCTGCAAATGAGTATAGGTTGGCGCGATGCACTAAATAGAAGTAAGTTTCCAGAACATGCACTAGAGTCACGGGTTACGTCTGTCCCTTTGAGGCTTTTCATGAAGCGGAGACTTTGCACCTTTAAGCGCGTGCCGTGGCTCGAAAATCTCCACTATAATTTGCATGCAAAATGGCTTCCTTCAGACGGTTTCCGCGGTACTGGCAGGCCCACCTCTCTTGCAGATGAAAGCGTCTTCTCGCGGTCCCTAGCTGCGAGATCGAGCTGAGGACGGAAAGGCAAGACAAAACTTACAGTATAACGCATACGTTAAAAACAAAGTCCATGAATGAAGCTTAATAGAGGGCTCGGAAAGTCGTCAGGCATTGTTACCCACTGCATTACACCCGATTCGTGTACGCTTTTCGTTCGCCGTGAGTGCAACTACACAACGAGGCCCTGTCTGTATGCTATTGCAGACTAAGATGAGCAGAGTGATTGAGCTTTTCCTGCTGACTTTCTTTAGTGCGATAGACTTTGCCTCCTTGGCCTTTGCAACCCTTTTTAATGTGTCCGCCGCACGATTTTGTTGCTGGCATTCTTTTTGAGCTTCGGTGGCTTGCTCCATCAGTTCCGCTTCTATCTTGTCTTGTTCAGAAATCTGAAAGCATCAAGATTGAGCCTCCATCACTTCACTTGAACACAAACACTTGAAGGAGAAAGCACATTTCTTCCGTCGTCTTCACCGAGCTACTGTGGCACAGCATATAAAAGTCAGCTACAGCGACCACAAGTGCGCATTCAGAAACTCTTAATAAGCAGAATGAAACGCTGTCTCCTGGCTAAGTAGTAAACGAGGCAAGCGAAAAGAAAAGGGCACGTCCTTAGCGTCCACGGCATTAGCTACATGCATGCCCGACTAACCTTTTCCTTTAGTTCCGCATACTTCGCATCCAACTGTTGCTGTTGTTGTCCAACTTTCTCAATTCGAGATGCCAGGTCACTGCGGGCTCCTTCTAGCTCCTGCTGCATCGTCTGCAGCTGCAGCCTCACATCGCTCGTTTTCTGTAGCACCACCAGCCAGGGAAATCGTAACCAAACGTATGCGCAATTGTCTATCGTAGGACGGACGTGCCCTCAGCAGCAAAAGGCAGAGGCTCAGCCGTACTGCACAAGTCTCACTAATTGCAGTTCCTCCAGACGTCCCTCTGATTGCTTCAGTTGAGTACGAAGAGCCTTCACCGCCTTGCTGAGCGTAGCTTCCTGAATCCCGAGTCATGCTCGTTCCCAGTCATACAGAAAAACATCAAAAGTAAAATATAACATAACAAGGATAACACTTGAGGGCCAAATGCTGCTTTGTGGGCAAGTGGCTACTATATAGGCCAGTAGTGAAGGCCCTAGATGCTGATCCCGCACGCACGATCTTATCCTTGTTTGTCTCAATATCATGGATCTCTGTCTCCAGTCGCAGTATTGTATTCTGGGCCTCTCTTCGTTTAACTTCAACCTCCCGTTTAAGCTGTTCTTTTTCCCAAAGAAGCTTTTGCACCTCCTCCATACGTGCGCGGCAGGATCCTGCGTCGCTGCTCCCCAATAGACGCTGAGCCCAACATACAAACAACCGCGACGCCTCCATCGTTAGCGTCGCTCAACCACGGCAAGTCAGGCAACTGTACAAAGGGGCCAGCTATACGTAGATTTGGTCGCATTAAGCACCTCAGTATTCCTGAGTTGATTTTCTGCCAGCCTCAGAGACTTTCGAAGGCTTTCTGACTGCTGTTCCCGGGCCTGGAGGGGTGCCAACTCTGTTTCAAGTGCTCTGAACAAATCGCACAGGAAAACAGGCAATGCTTCTGGCCGGTAACAGAGGTCACCATAGCCAAACGACCTGGCAGGTTCATCGTTGTTCACTGTGCAAATTATGTGCTTGTGGTGAAAAGTTGATAAGACGCCGTGAATTTGGAGCTTTCTTACTCATTGAAAAGAGTTACCTGATGCGGACTGCGACTTCCTCAGCTGATGTTACTGCATCCTTGTATCGCTGCGATTAAGCAGGGAAAAAAGAACAGATTTCAGTGGCACGAGTCACAGTATGTTTCATGCAGGTGAGGGGCAACCTGGACAAAGGACAGAACTTTCCACTTTCGAGAGCCCACGTATACCCACACTCGGTCCCTAGTCTCAAGAATTCTTCTGCGGCACCATATAGTCGAAATTTCGGAAACAAACTGTTTGACTCTATTCTGATAACTTTGGCAGTTTGCCGCACTTTCCAGGTGAGCATCGTCTGTCGCACATCCCTCACACTTCCACCTGCCATGATTCCTCCAGTCTGAAAGACATCTCCCTCTGCAGTTGCTGTGGGGAAAGCCAGCCTGCAGTTCTTCTGGTAGGTGATCTGGCGCAGCACCCCCAGGCGACAACAGCAAAAAGATAGGCTCTTACATCAAGTGTGGAAATGAACTGGTAAAATTTTTATGGGCAGCAAAGACATTCTTATTAGAAGCATGACAGCGTGAAGGCGAACGACGCTTATCACCTTTTGAGCTATCGCTGCAGAACGACAAATCAGCCCTCCTCCAAAGGCATATTCGGCCACTTTGGAATGCCTACGAACGTCATACCTACGAAGAGTCCACAAGGCAAGGAGAACGAAAAGTAGACAAGGCATGCATGCAAAAGGCGTGGGACTGGAAGGACCACGCAGTCAAAAAACCCGACCAACTCAGTTGAGTGATGAGGCAAAAGAAAAGCTAGGTTGAATGAGAGCATAAGCAGCGCAATCATCGGACATGGAACTTATACACAAAGCAGAAAGGACACCAGGAAGTATTTCGGCTCACTCAACCATGTCCAAGCAGCGTAAAACACCGCTTGTGTCGTCGGGTGGAAGACCTACTAGGCGCCGATTCGCCATTAGGGCCTAGGTTAAATTGCACAGGTTGCAAAGGCAGCAGCCGCAGTGTCAAGGTGCAGAAGTCGGGCAAACCAGCCTCCTCGATAAAACAAATCCCCAAAAGGTCGTACAATATGTAAAATGGTGCATGCTCGAACAAATATTCATCCCAAACCAATGACAGTGCCTTAATTTTCTTACTTGCTTATCGCAAACGCGACCAACATGACAATCCGACAGCGGAAGAAGCGTAACCCGCCTCCTACCTTGCGCGAAGTTGTTTTCTTTGAAAATAGCTTTACCTGGAGGGCAGTCCCGCGCGCACATTTCCATGACCACCAGCTCTAATGCAGGCAAAAGTAGATACAACTCATACCAAACAGCGTGCCGCGAGGCTTACTGGCGTCCTTGTCGCTCACAACGATGTACTCAAGCTTTCCCCCCACAAGAACCTAGGGGCAGAAAACGAACAGTGCGCGCAGCTTCGAAGCCTTGCCGTTGCAAGACCGAATTTCAGGACGTCTACAGTTATCTACATACTTCTTCAGCGTAGCGCTTTGTTGCACTGCGTAATTTCTGCATCGTTTTAGGCATTGTGTCTACCGCGGCGTTCGTTGTCGTGGCTCTGCGTTCGTTGGTCGGTCTCTGCTACAAATGAAAAGCCAGGTTACACAACCTTCTCTATGGCTTATCATTACCACAGTTTTGTTGACTAGCAGTACACGCCAAAGATACAGCAACCAAAATGAATGCGCACTAAGCATACGTGAGTAGAGTGCCTCCATGAGCTAACGTTCTCGCAGCCCTTGTAAGTGATAGCCTTCTTCCTCGGCTTGCCACGTACCTGCATGGCTTTGCTGAAAGTGGCATATTCCTGTTTGAGAGATACAAGCTCAAAAATTTGACCTGCGAAGCGAGATGGATCAATGCCTTTGGGTAGCCTCACATCAATCTTAGCCCTGAAGAGAACGTCCCAATGCCCAAGTTCAACCATCTAACAAGCTGGCAAAAGCCCTGACACACGGAAGCGAATCCTTTAAGCAAGATAGTCAGTATAAGCTGCATTACTGGGAAGAATGCGAAGACAGCGGAGACGCAGGTCGGCAGGGACACAAGTAAGCCGTACCAAGACCGCAATTCTTGCATGGCCTCCTGAGCCTCAAGACAAAACGCACGTTGCTTCTGCAGAACAAAAGGGCGGCACGCATTCCGCAACATCTCAAGAAAGTGCGAGCAATATCAGAGAATCATGTGACTGAACCCTTGACTGCATGGAAGAGGCTCGTAGACATTTACAGTTCACGATGCATGAGTCGAATGCATTTATCCAGCAAAAATGCAGCTGAAGATGGGTCGTAATACTACTGACGACTACGCAAAGAAACGGGAAATGGCATAAAGCTTGAAAAAACAGTAGAAGCCAACGGCAAGTGCCGCGGCAATGAGCAGCCCACCTCTTGCAATTCAGCAAGCGCAGACTGAATTGCCGAAGCTGGCTTGTCACTGTTCCCTAGTGCCTCGATTTGACATTTCAGCTCATTAATCCGGGATCTCTGTTCTTGAACGCTGTTTTCCATCAGTGCCCGATCCTGAAAACATAGGGGGCAGAAGAAGTTGAAGTCATGGCAGCTGCCATTATCCAAGGCCCAACTCACAGCCCGAAGACTTTCTTAATTAGGTGGAATAGCTGAATATATATGCAAAGGGGAGATAATGGAGAAACCATAGGTACAAAGGGGTGACAAGCCGCCAGACCGAGCATAAATTTTTCTCCTTTTCAGTTATGGCTTCTAGTTCACTCTTCAGGTAAGTTATCTCTTGCAAAATAGAGAAATCTTGAGCTTCCAGTCTCGCTTCCTCCGATCTGGACGTCTTGAGCAAATCTCGAATAGACCCAGAGGCTCCCACGCCTCCGCTGCTAACCGCCTGGAGCTTCTCAGATTTTTCCTTGAGCTCTGACCTTAGTCGTTCAACTTCTTCAGCTAGTTGCTCAGCCTGTGCAGCCTCCATGGAACGGGAACTTCTCCTGTTCTCCAGGGATTTTTCCAGCCTCTGCACTTCTTTATCTTGTTCTTTTACGGATATGTGAAGCATATCCAGATCTCGCTTGCAGCTGCGTGTCTCAGCTTGCAGCCGAGACAGCGCCTGTGCAATGTGTAAAACAGGAAGATACCCAGAAAATGGATGCAAGCGGTGTTGTACTAGCAAACCTGCAACCGTAGCTTAAGTGGCCGCTGTAAATCGTAGCTGATGCAATAACATGCGCTGCGGATGAATGCGATGAGCCAGTCATGTCCCTAAAAACAGGTCAAAAATGGTGAGGATTCACTCTGCAGAAGCTATCGCTGCACTTCATCAATGGCGTTCGAATCTAAATCATCAGCCACACCTTCTCGGTTTCTTCCTTCCTTTTCCGTAGCATCCTTAGTGGAGCGTCCTTTTCCGCTCGTGCCACCTCAAGAGCTTCTAGCTGCTTTTCCGCTTCCTCCCGCTGTCTGTCTGCAGCCTCCAGTTCAGCTACTAACGTCGACCTCTCCCGCTGAAGTTCAGCAAAGGCCTCCATCCCTTGTTGCACCGTTTGTTTTGCACTACAGGCACAAAGCAACGAGGTGCAGATGCAGGGAGCGTCAAATCTTTTTCATCCAAAATAGTGGAACTCGGCGAACCGAGCGTTGCCCTGCCACAACCACACTACCAACGTGGCAGCAGTCTACAGCGCCCTGCAGCATGAGTACGTCCCCAGCAGCCCTAATACGTGGGCTTCTGGGGTGCTGCTCATGTAAAATTTGGCTGACCAGAAATAGCGGTAAGCTGTATCAAACCTCTGGAAATGATGCAACGCTTCCTTGAGGTTAACATAGTTTTGGTAATCAGCCTTTTCCCTTTGTAGTCGTTCTACATTTGGCTGTATTTCCTCGGATAAGATACTTTGTATCTCTTGAAGCTTTTGTTCCTTTTTTTCCACCATTTTTACAGCGTTGGCCCTCTTTAATTCGTACATCCGAGTGCCTGAAACCTCCTCAATCAGGCCCAGCAGCTCTTTTGGCTTCATGTTTATCACCTTCGTTATCTTCCCTGGACCACAATTTCAAAATTTTGGACGACGAGCCCATTCACGTTACTCAGGTGTGTGCAGCTACATTATAGTGAAAGCACTCAAAATAGCGAGGTGAGTCTTCTTGACCCACTTCGAAGTCCAGCGGAGATGGCTCCTTCGTGCCTCACACACGATGCCCACCCACCTCTAGTACGTCTATTTCCACATACTAAGGCCTACACGGGTCCACGGCTTGGCGCTTACCTTGCTGAATCATGAAATGAGGGCTATTGATGTTTAGCTGACAGCACTGGAAGAAATCTTTAATCTCTTTCACTTGCGCAATACGGCTGTTCAACAAGTACCGGTCTCTCCCTCCTGAGCAATCGACACCAGAACCATCCAGTGAAAACAAATACATTCGGAATTCCTTAATTCGTTCAAGGCGCAGGGAAGCCGAAGCATGCTCTCAAGCGTGCTTCAGTTGGATTTGCGAAATCTTCGCACAATAAGCGGTACGCGCATTCTAGCGGCGGCTATATTTCTTTTCATGTACCAATAATTATTTGCCTTGTCCTTTAAGCGGTATTCACATTCTAGTGGTGCTATGCTTCTTATGTACCAATAATTATTTGCCTGGTGATAGAAATTTCTCTCATCTCCTTGTATGGAGGTGGCAAAGGGTTGTTAGTCTGGTTTGGGTCATTTTTTAGCTTGATAGTCACGGTAGCCTTTGTTATGCCCGCCTGGCCCTGTTTGTACACTAAATCTTCCAGCCTGGCTACGCGGACCTGAGTTCCAAGCATCAGTCACCGTGCGCGATTAACAGCGTTTGCTGCTAAGTGGCAGCCATAGCTGGTGTAGTGGATAGCGGAAGCTGCTTTTGCTCTCATGTAATCTGACTAGAGCAGCCACATTTCAGCGAGGCAGTAATGTGTGCTTTCTTACCAAAGAATGGTTGGAGATACCGAGAACAAAACATATTGCGTCAAGAATGTTTGACTTGCCGGTCCCATTCAGACCTGTAATGGCGTTGAATTGGGGATGCAGGGGGCCGACGACCACCCGCGAAGAGTACGACTTGAAACCGTCGAGGATTAGCTCGTGAATGTACATCTTAGGGGACTACTGTGATACAGTAACTCAAAGCAGTGCATGCAAGACAGCTGGCTTGTTCCGTTTTTCTGCAAATTGCCGAAGTAAAGGCCAACGGCCATTACCCTACGTCTCCTAACGAGTTGCGCATACCCGCCTGAAACAGAGCCAGTGCAGAAACAGGCGAATCGACTTCCTCCGAGAGTTAACACGATGGCACAAAAACTCGTAAAGTACAGTAGACTGAAGGACAAGCTTGAAAGCGGCTGTTTCTTGTTTCACATCGCTGGCGCGTGACCCCACAAATAAGAAAACGCTAGTGGGCAAGGTGATGCGAACAAGTCCAAACCGCTTCACAAAAAATGTACTTTTAAATGCAAAGAATGGGGGATAAAAAAAAGAGCTCGTGTTTTTTAACAAAGTAGCTGCGGCCGCCAACCCCAACCCCACCAACCACCACACAGCCCCAACTGCTGCAGACGTTTCGAGTGTTCTCTGGCTTTTCTTCGCGAACAATCGCGCAGCCAGTTTCAGGCCCTTAAAATAAAAATCCAACGAAAATCTTCAAATTTGTCTCATTGAAGTCATAACCTCACTCTAGTTGAGAAACAACGGCTATAACTAGCCTACTGCGCGGTTTTTGGCGGGTACCAGCGTTCGACTACAGTTATGGGCAAGTATGTTTTGGTGGAACCTACGCATCGATAAGAGTAGTCGAACACTTTTTTGGGGTCCTTTGTGTTGTCTACCATGATTCGTAAAGGAGCTTGCGTTCCTCCTCTAGTTCTGTCCACTCACCAGATGCATTTTGTGAGTCTGTCAGGTCTTATGAAAAGAAGGGACGTTTTAATTCGGGTGGCATATATATGGGCAAATAAAAGGTTGTTAAGAGGTTCCTTTTGTTAGATTTGGGCCGCGCGAGCCTGAGTGACTCATGGAGGGGCCTCTATTTCCTCCGACTGCCTCCGTTTCTGCATGACCAAATCCAAGTAGTACCATTTGCTTTCCCGACTCCATTAAAAGCCATTATTCGAGTTCAAGAGCCACGCTTCTTGTCTGTTTGCAGGCCTGCGAGGACACGCGCTCCCCTTCTACCCCTATCCCGGGAATTCTTGGACCTGCACGCGTGGAAGAGCCAAAGTCATACTGTCTCCCTACATCTTGAGTTTCTCATCAAACCTTTGTTTAATTTTGAAGTAACTTTTGGAAAGTTTGTGGATTCGCACCTCTTCGAGTTCATTTACATCAACTGACTTCGCCCCACCCACTTGTGTCTGAGACCTCTTGTGTCTGAGACGTTACCCGACGCTCTTCCCACCCATCCCTTACTGCTTCAGCAGTGTTGGCTCCCCTTTACGCTTTGGCAATTTGCGTTTCCTTGTAACCTGCTTAGGTTACGTTGCGGTGAGTCCACGATCGCACAGGCTTCAGCGAAGTGTCCTGTGACCCTAAGGTGCGCTTTAGAGGGATTCCTCTCTTCTCTAGGTCTGCACTTCTTATTACAATAAAAGGAAGAAAACATGAGAGGAGAACGATAGGCAGCATTTGCAGGCGGCTCTGTCACTTTCGTCGTGTCCCACGCAGAACCCGCCAATCGTCGTTGGAGGAACGGTGGTGGTATACGCCTTCATTAACTCACCTTCCTTCACTGACCCATACTGATTCCTAATTCGTCGTGGTGAATGTGAGGCTAGAACTTTTGTTCCAGCTCTGTTGCAGCCGAGCAGCACTTAAACGCGAAGCCAGTAACAGCAGATTCAAAAGACCTAGCTCGGTTCTGGCAAAAGTTTCCCCCCAGGTTTAAAACAGTTGCTACATGTACGAAAATGGCGAGCCTTGATCCGTAGTTGCCTCGCTCATGGGTCCTACAATGAACATACATAGCAAAAATGCAACCAAAGTGGACCACGAAACAGCAACCAGCTCCAGAGGGGATTTCGCCCCTTCCAAGTGCCCACAAAAAGGTATCACTAGGCAACAAGACTCAAGCACAATGGCAATGTAAAGGTGACGAGACTATAGTAGCCTGCGCAAATGACTGGGTCGTCTGCAGTAACTGTTTTCAGCGATCACTCGAGGGTCGACGACCTTTAATCTTCCCGACTGTGCAGGCCTTTGATCCTTATGGGCTGCAGAGTCGCCCGCATTACAGCAAGTAACTGTGCTGCGGTCCTGGATACCCGTAGTGGAACACTTATCTGTGCTGCTTCCCAAGACCAAGTAGCCTTTCGGTCCTTGATTCGCTGAACCTTATGTACTAACTGTGGGTCAGCCGGAACTGTAATTAGGTCCCGCCAAGCACACGCTACATAGGACTTGCCCCTTTTCTGCACAAGCTCGTTCCAAGGCTCATAACCTCCTACGGCAACTGACTGCCGTAAGTCCTTTGAACGTTGTCACAAGATGGAAAAGCACAACTGACAGAAGTGGCGAGCACTGCTGCCCCCTCTTAGAGTCAATGGCATCTCAGAGAGCGTTCAGAAACGTTTAAAGTCTTGCATCTGCAGGGATCGTTGCCGGCGGGTGGCAAACAGTATTGCGCTGCTCTTTGGAGACACATAATCGTCTCGTGCCCTAGTAATCGACAGTAGGAGATTTCGCCAGGGAGACCACGCCTTCAGCGGCCTCGTACAGGCTGCGGTTTGGTCCATACGGCGAACCCAAGCTCGCCCGAGCCACACAGGCATTAGCTTGCGATGCTCTAGGTCGACAACTGAGTTGGACCTACACAATTGGCTCTAAGTGCATTTCATCATTTCCCGCGTTCTCCGCTGGGCTTTGCTAGTTTCTTCGTGTTGTGCCTCTTGGGCTAATACCTGTAACAGTTCGTCGGGGCCTCTGGTCCCATCGGTCGTATGCCGTACTTATAGGGCACTCTAATCTTGAGAATGCTTCTAGAGACATGTTACACCCGGCAGTACGGAGCATGCTTGAGCCTTGATGACGCCCACCAAGTAAAGGACGTTGTGGTGTGGAAAGAGGAAAGTTTACTGAATGCTTGACAAGCACTTACGCTAAACCTCTAATTATGCGGTGAATGGTACTGCCAAGGATGCATAAAACACTTTCCGTTCTCGTTTCGGGGACAGTCACAAGCACAAATTTCATCCTGGAAGCCAAGAAGCCAAACGAACCAGTCCACTTTATTTCCAGATAATACGATCACAGGATATGCTCGGAAGAAGCTGTTAAGATGCAAAGATAACGCTGTACGGGGGGCACTTGCCTCCATCGAAAAGTTCTGTGCGCTGCTGTGCAGTACCCACATACAAAATCAGAAATGCAGCCCTGATTCCCTCATGCGAAAAACGAGGACAGAAAGTCCTGAAATCACCTCTGCTAAGTTGTCATTTGGGACCGGCTAATCAATGCTCAATTGCTTGAGGTGGAGAGGAATTCATATGGAACCGTTCTCCGCTTCATCGTTCAAAGCACCCTTTTGAGTAATTGCTCCTGCCACCAATATCTGCAACAGAGACCGTTCCACGCGTCGAATGCCTCGCCAGAATACCCAACTCAATTTGTTTCTACTCGCCGAAAAAAGTCGAGTGTTTAAAAGCTTGCGACAATGGCCAGACACCGGTACCCCGTTGCAGCTAGTTCACCCGACAGGTACGCTTCTGTACACTTCTTAACGGAATTTCCAAGACCACCGTCCCTCTGCTAAAATTAGCAAACGTCTTTTATGCTATCTCGTGGGCAAGTATCTGGGCACCTTCTTCACTCTCTGGTTGGGTCCCTCATCCCTAGTCCTGCTCACCAAAAATGGCCCACGTGGAATTCGTGTTTCCTGGAGCAGTTCAATAAAGGAACTTCTGGATTTTACCCATTTAAAGTTTGAGAGTAGGATGAGGCCGACACAACGCAAGACAAATCGCAGCGAATCGCGGGACGAGCGTACTCACACACACAACACATAGTTGAGCCAGAGTTCCCTGCGACCCATAAATCACCCCCATGCAGTTGTCACCTTTAGCGTGACGCAGAGGCACTGGTGAGATGCTATGCCTGAAGCACTAAGGCAGTGAAGAACACTCTAGTTAGCATGGATTCTAGCTTAAAGGTGCTCAGTCCTATCACACAACAGACGGTGTTGCTGCGGTGCTAGCTTTCCAGCTAGCTGCAGTAACCAAGCATCCGACCCAGTTCCTCCAAACTGCTCCTCAACATTGGATTACTGTCGTAGTACCAAATTGATCAATACAGCAAAACCAACCTGGTTCAAGATGCTCTAAGCCCAGCACGCGTTCCTTATTGGCCATTAAACAATACCACGCTTTGAGACTTTTGCGCCTCAGTGATAGGAAGAGCCGGGATGGAAGGGTCAGAAAGCTGCATAGCTATGAACGTCTGGCTGCAGCAAGCAAGTAATCCCTCGTGCAGCTTTTCTGATACCTCTAGCTGGGAAATTCCCAGGCACAATGGAAAACCAGGCCATGCTTCCTCAGTTTATATTCGCACCTGCGACTGGATTCTGGATTTCACAGTTCAGCAATTATGCAAGTCTTCAGTTGCGCACGGCGCACACCTCATAGCCACGATCCTACCATACTACTTCCAGTCAAACCGCTAACGGCGAAACGTCATAGCTTGGAACCACAATGAAATGCCAGTGCCGACTGTTGTCCATTGAATCCGTGAGACTCTGACACCGCAGCTCCTCGGAATCAGTGGCTTTACACATCATAAAAAGAAAGTGGCCTGATTTTTTGTATCGGTTCCAAATCACTATATTTCATCAGCGTCCACAGCTTCTGCTGCTTTATTCAAACCCAAAGGGTCCGCTGGTTCCGTTGGCGCAATATGCTGCAATGCTTCAACAACGGCGGCAGCTGTTTGGGCTGCCGTAACGTGCTCTGCTAAGCAGGCTGCTGAAAAGCAGGAAGGTGCACCTGTCAAGCGCCATCCTCTACAGCTAATGTCAAGCAAGCTGTCGTCAGCTTTCATGACAGCGCAACAGAAATCATGAGGGGAGCCCTCGAATGGAGGCACTGCAGGGCCAGCATTGCTTGTAGAGCACGACAGATGGTACATCTGCGTCCCCCTTTTGTCCAGAAATCTCCAATTTGGAGATTGCTGCGTGATAATGATAGGACAAAAATTGGAGCATCTCACAGATTAACCATGCAGGCGATTTCTGCAGAATAGGACCTGGCAGGCCCGATTTTGCGTCGACGCTTAAGGTTACTCAGAAATGCAGGATGGCACTTGCCTGACGTTTAATCCAGTCGAAATCCTTCACATCCCTCCACGCGTTACTATGTGGCAGCTGCGGCCACAAACAAAGCACCGCACCGTGGAGTGAGGCACACCAAGTATGAAAACTACAGACGAGGAACTTGGAAAGCAGCCGCTTCAAGAGCATTCTATAGAAAACCTCCTGCACCGTCAGAACAAGCAAGCTCAGATAAAGCATGCAGTATATTTCGTCTCAATGTGCATTGAACCCCCTACAATTTGTATATTGATGCCCTCCATAAGCATAAAGAAAATGGACGGGGCAAAAACTGCTCCAGTGGTTCTGAACGCAAAAAAAAGTCAAACACGCAGTACTTCTAGAAACAAGCTGTGAAGCTGTGCTTTTCGTGTCAATCCTACCCTTCAATGATTGGCGAAGATGCTGTGTTCAGGAAGAAGCTGACGTCCTGACAGTCGTGCACGCGTAGCTGCAAATGCGCACACAGATGAGAGCACAAGCTAAAACAGCTGAAGTTGTAAAAAGAGCTCATCTTAACTGTGCCCAGCAAAACGAGGTGGGGCTTTCAGTTGCCTTGACTACTGGAAATGCGATCACTTGCTGTGAATGGACCGCGAAAATGCACTTGCTGCAACTTTCTATCCACGAGGCACTGTTGACTTGAAGTAGCCTGCGGCAGGCATGAACAGAAAGATTTACTGCGTGTGCAATTTCCCAGCTCAAAACATTTCGTCATCCATATGCAGTGCAGTGGTACAGTTAATTCGCATTTCTCATCTCCTTTTCTTCACATGGCTCAAATGGAACGCGGTGCCAGCACCGATCTAAACTGGGGCGCCTTGCCTTACATAACAGCGGAGTGGCGAATATTTTGAAGCCTGGCACAAGGCACTCGATCAACGATGTACACCGTACAGCCGTCCTGCAAATAAAGTACTCATCATGGGTATCCGCATTCTTGAGAAGACACGAGAGCTCCAAGGTACGGAAAAGTGCTAAGTGACGGACTGACAAAAAAACGGAACTTCATACCAGATTTTTGAGCCAAACTTCTCGTCCACCTGCCACCCCGGGTGCAACCAGGATCCTAGAATAACGACGCACAAGTTCTCAAGGAAACACAGGCCGTCTTACGTGTATGTTTAGACGTGCAATTCGCTTTGCTAGTTTATGTGCAGGCTAGTGACTGACTCACACACGACTGGTGAGATTCGAAATGCTCAGAACATCGCGCGGGGTATTCGTTGTGTCTTGAACGTTGGGGCCTGCAGTGTTTTCCGCAGGACAGTCAGTCTTTATTTCTGTTGCCTCGCTCCGGACGGCAATTTCCTGAACTGCTTCAGAATCAACGCGAGCCCCACGTTTGAAACTAAAAGGCCGAGATAAAGAAATCTGCTGGCGACGGGCTGCCAGCGACTCCGCAGCCCGCGAGAGGATCTGAGTAGATAAAAATTGGATATGAGCAAAGCATTGTATGTGCTTTGAATGCGCTTGTTGTCAGGCGGAGATAAATATAAAAACACCACGATTAGAGGCAGCGCGTACCCTCTGTTGTTGAGCGACGAGAGCTTCGGGAACCTCCTCGGAGATCTGAAGAAGGCGGACTTCTTCCTTAAGTGCACAGATGTGGTCAAGAAGCTCCGATGAGTCCGAGGCATTACCACCGCCGGAGAGAAGCGTCGCAACCTTTCGCTCGGTCTCTGCAGTCAGCAGAATAGCAGGATGGCAGCCCTACGATAAACAATGATAAACAGAGGCAGATAGCACTGGTAACCGTCCAAGTGCACAATGAAAATACCAAAGTGGATGCGGCACCACCAGAAGGCTGCTGAACAGCCGGCTAGCTGGTCAGCAGCCCCCCATCGTAAGGAGCTTATCCATTATCATCCCAATAAAAAGGAAGCATACGGATTTCTGTTTCAGACATTAAACCGCTTGTGATGGCAGCACTGTGCACACAGAGTACGGACGCACAATTGAATTCGAAGACTGCTGTAAAATCTATGGTTTATCTGACAGCACGTCAAGAACAGGCAGCTTGAGCCCGGACAGATAGACAGACGTGCCTAGCATGGAGCAATGTCGGCGCAAAAAGCCGCAGTAGCACGGGGATTTTATTACTTTTAAATAGTACATGGAGCAAAAAATGAGTGGTTTGGGAAATGCACTGCTGTTCGTGGGTAGCTTTTTCGCGAGACATGGTAACGCTGTCCATCAGAAATTGGGGGAGCCGCAGCTGTGTGGATACGTAAGGAAATTCGTGTTACCTCTTACGCACGCTTCAAGCTCTGCTGCTTTCTCTCTAACACTTTGTTTCATTTTCAGGCATAGTGGAGCTGCTGTGTTTTCCAGCGAAGTGCCGAGTCAAAGTAATCCACTATACGCCCTGCCTGCCGCAGTAAGACGTTAGAAGCTTGTTGTTTCTTCGCGCAAATCCTACTTCCTTCTTTCTAAAACAAAATTGGTTTCTTTCTTGTTTTTTTTTAACGTGTGGCTCAAACGGAGTACGGATAAAAGGTTTGCAAGCTTTAGCCCCTTCAGTGGTGGCTGGGGGGCTGGCTCTCCAGGGAGCGCTTGTAAACCGCCTGCTGTACTTAGGTTTGGCTCCTCATATAGCTGAGATACTTGAAAATTGCGTTGGTTCGCAAGAACGGATAATATAGAAGCACGTGATGTGTGATTATATATTGATGTGCATTGCTTGACCTCTGGGGAACGTGTTTGGTCAGGCAATAGCTGCTGGTGGCTCTCAGCCGGCTCCTCGCATAATTAGCAATAACTCAGGATGGGACTGGCCGGCAGATGCACAAAACCGACACTTATCAAGACACAGAGCTCAGGTTACGGCGCAATAGTGCAGTGTACGATAGTGGTTCAGTAAAAAGCGCGTGAGGTCATGCAAAGACAACGAGATCCAATCAGCGGTCCCAGGTTGGCACAGATGAACGTAACTCGGCGTTTCTGCGCAGTTAACTCCACAATTGTTGTCTCCTTGTTATGGCCATACGCCAAGCAAATAACGAGAACCCGGAGCCGATATCATAAGTTGGGCATCAGTAACCTCGTGAAAACCCCGCTCGCAAAGAGCATAGAGTTCGTTATGTTGCCGAACCTGGATATGCTGTGACACTGCAGCTTGCACGGCAGGATAGGAGCAGCAGTCGTGGGGCAGCACTCGAGGGATGTCAAGCATTTGGCAGGGAAGTCGGCTGCAGCAGGTGTTGCTGCATAGCGAAAAGAAACTACTGCAGCTTCAAAGCAAAGACTCCAATGAGCTAAAAAGGCTGACGAATTTGGTGGTGAAGCTGTATATCCCTAATTTGCAGGCCAAAACAGCAGAAAACGCCACTAACAATGGCGACAGTAAACGATAGCATCCAGTCCTGGGAAGCAAGGCGCATGTAATTAGCTAGCGCGAATCAGTCTGGATGTTTTGCGTAACTTCCTGCTAGATGGAAGCTTTTGGTGCTAAGGATGAAACAGTCTGTGCCAAGGCCTCTGCTGCCTGGGTTGCCGTTGCTCTCGTTCCCGCGGCAGCCCAACTATGCGGCAAACAACCCTCACGCAGCAGGTGCTAGGCGTTCAAGGAACGCGAGTAAAGTTCTTCAGCGTGTATGGCATCATTTGCTTCCGTGGATACCTCTGCATCAGCTAGTGCCGTAGCGTTCCTCAGTTCTGCACCTATGTTCATTGCTTGCAACTCTGCTCTAAATCCTGCAGCGGCTGCTCCAGCGGAGACTGCTTTCCTTCTAGCATTGTTCTATTGGTATAATTACTTCTGTCTGGGTCATTTCTGTATGGTGGAGCTTGTGCTGCTGCTCATTTGGATGCGTTGTGTCCCGACGGTGGCAGTGGAAGTGGCAGTGAGGGTGCATAATCAGTGGAACCAACTGCACAGGAGGCACCAAAAGCGCCTCAATATTAAGAAGGGGAAGGCTTAGGTATTGCTTCCTAGTGCCTTCTGTTTCTGTCCTTGATCTTGTGGCATGGCCAAGCGGTTGGTGAGGTGCCTCCATTTCTTTCAAATGCAAGGAACATGTGCGTCAACAGCGAAGCCAAATTAGCACAGAAAAGCAACTAGCCTGCTGCTGGAAAGGAAATGCCCCGTTACAATGCCTGCCCAGAAGAGAACGGAACTGCGCATTAACAGAAGAGGCTGTGAATGCAATGCGAATGCGAAAGGCACTCTGGCTCGTGTCCTCTACATGAGTTGCCCTTGTATGTTGAAAGCGGCCGCGTTTGTTGATGAAGCTGAGCGGCCCAGTAGCAGCTCAGTGCACAGGCTGGTTGCCCAAACAGCCTGCGGAGCAGCAGCCTCGCTAGTCCGTGTTGCAGCCACCCGTAATGCTTTTCGCAGCAGTCTCAGAGACTTTATTGTCGTTGAGGACGTAGTCTGTAGCAAACAAAACACAGGACGGCAAGCAGAAGCTGCGGACCGCAACCGCGCAGTTGAGTGCTGCGTTGAGATGCACATAAGCAGAGAGACGGAAAAGCAACCAGTGAATTGAAGACCTCAACAGCCGTAATCATAGGGGCATGCAAACAGAGACACGCATGAGTTGTAAGCGGCACAATGAGCACAGAGCAAAATATGCCGCATGCTTTTTTAACATTTGTGTGTCAAACAGCGCAGAGGGTGAGCTTCGTTTTGGCTCTTGCGCCAGGGCCGTCTGTGTTGCTGCAGCTACTGCTGTTGCGCCTTAGCTGCAGCTGTTATAGTTTCTGTGTTTCTTGTTATAGTGCTTCCGTGTGTTACTTGTTCACCTTTCTGTCCAGTTACATAAAATATTGCCTTTACCGCCTTTCTACGCCGAAATTCCCCTTAACTGTGGGCCTTCGTTTTGCCTTTCAGCTTTAGCAGAGGCGTTTTTCCATATCTGCATCCGGCGAGTGAACAGACCATCTCTGCCTTCACACTATCTCTTTCGTTTCCCTCAGTGCTGTCATTTCTGCGACTACTTGTTGGCATGTCACGCTGACGCTGAGAGTGCATCATTTGCCGGTTCCAGCTGCGTCTGCGTGGATTCCTCTGTCTCTCTTCTGTGGCTACTGCTATGTCCATTTCTGCCTTACTCTCTCAGCCACTTTTGCTCTCCCCTCTTGCTTCCATTCTATTCATCTTCACAAACACGAATTACAAGTTATGGAATATATTAATTCGGCGCCCTTCCGAGCTACTGCCCTTTGACCCAGTCAGAAGGCTAGGAAGCTGCCTGGCCAGCTGGCTCGCTGCATAGCTCGTCAAAAAATAGCAATAAAATCTCTGCGTCACCTAGCCAGGAGTGAATAAAATAAACGATACCATTGCAAGAGTTATCGCCACGGCAATGGCTAGCTGTACTAAGGGCATTAGAGTGGCAAAAAATGAGAAGCGCAGCAGTTTCTTAGCTGTTTGCAGGCCCTGCAGCTGTTTCCGCTGTAGCGCTTCTTGGGTTGCCGCCGTTCGCTGCAGCAACTCATTGTCTTTCTGCAGCCGCTGCCTGAATCTCAGGGCTCCCTGCTTCATTTCATTCGCCGTCCCCAGGAGCACTTCCTCTAGTCGAGCGTCATTGACTCCGACTGCTGATGGAGCCTTTGTTCTGCGCTGCAGCAACGCTTCCCGATTTTTCTGTTCCTCTACCAAAGTATGGCGCTGGGACTCTGACACATCTTTCTGTTGCTGCACACTGACTGTTGCTTCTGCAGGGACGGCCGACGGTTCGTCATCGCTCTCTGCCTCTTTCGCCCATGCTTCAAGATCTGCTAGGACTAGATCCACTAACGTGTGATACAGCGGCTGCTGCTGTTGTTGTTGCTGCCAGTATATCCGTTTCCGTTTGAGTTGCAAATATAGTGGCCATTCACTGCTGCTCTTTTCCTTTTCAGTGGTGTAGCGTTGCTGTACTTCCTGGACAAAGGCCGTTATTGCTTCAGCTGCTGCTGCCACTGCTGACGCATCCTGTCGCTGCTCTCCTTGCAACTGCAGGTGATGCTGCAGTTTCTGTTTTAGCACATTCAGAGTCAGCACGTTCTGGGACACATAATACACAAGAAAATGCGAAAGCTACGCTTCAGCTAGCCGTAGCGCCCTTGGCCGAAGATGCAGCAGCAAGCTTGTCTGCTCTGCAGAAAAAGAAGAAGTTGCATTCGAAGCAGAAGCAGGAGCAAGGGATACAGCAGCTTACTTGCAAAAGAATCGCCCGAGAAACAGCTGTATGAAGATCAGACTCTACGGGCAGAGTATTTTCACTTTTGCGATAGGTGCTGAAGTCAGGGGTTACGGTAGAGCCCGTAGCACAGTTGTGTTGAAGTTCTTGCAGCTGCTGGCGAGCGCGCCTTAGTAGCTGCAGCAGCTCGGCCTGTAGCGCTGAACAGAATGCTTCTTCTTGCTGCAGCTGTAGTCTCGGCTGCCGCCTTGGTCGTGGCTGCTGTTGTAAGCCCACAGCTAGGTTGGGCTTCGGCGCCAACATATCTGCTACTGGGGATGCAATTATTGCTGAAGCACAAACACGGAAAGAGGCGAACGCCCGAACAACATATGTCGCCTCTGTAACGTGTCCGTGTACATGACGCCCTGTTGCAACCAAGGCTGCAGCTGCAGCAGTTGCAGCTGCAACCACCAAGCCGTCTGGTTACATGCCTTTTCGGTCTAACAACATTCGAAATAAAATAAATGAGAACGGCCGGTGCATGCAGCAGGGTTGCAGCAGTCGCAGCAGGTGCATGCTGCCGCCGCCTACAAGATCTTTGGAGCATCGCAGATAGCAGTGAAACCGGAGCGGGAGCAGCAGAGGGACCAAGCACTATCACCACTGAACATTTTATCTCCTTTCTACACGCAACAGACAGCCAAAGAAGGCCAGCAGCAACAACATATTGGAAAAGCGAGTGATCACGACGGCAGCAACAGCAGACCAGCGCGGCATTTGAAATGAGCGTGAGCACTAGCGGCTACAAGGACCAGAAGGACTGTTTGACTGAGCGTGATAAGTTTGGAAGATGCTTTTGCAACTTGGGACGGCGGATCTCCGGAAAAGTAGCACCGGCAGGATAGTCGGCGGCGCCCCTGTGTACTACCTTCCTAAGAGAGCCTCAAAATACTCCCTAAACAGCAGCGCGACCGGATTCCAAAGTAGCTCCAGATCTAGCTGCAGTTACACACAGTAACCGCAAGACAAGCAGGGAGCTGATGCAGGAGGAGCTGGAACAGCAGCAGTTGCAATCACGGCAAGAGCTTGTCGCTCGAGGACGTTGCTTGAGCAGAGCATGATGCCCTCAAGAGCGGCGGATTATTCCTCATGAGCAACGGTGAAAACTCAGGCACCTGAGGTCAAGAAGTCGTTGAAAGCTACGGCAGCAGTAAAAACAAAACTTGAAGCAGCCAACAAAGTAGCTGCAGTTGAAGCACAAGATTCAGGTGCTGCTTCTGCTTCTTCTTGTTTGCAGATCTTTGGCGGAAGGCACACCAAAAACAGCGACAGCAGCGGCAGTTGCACTGACAGCAGCACAACAGCAGCCACTGGAGGCACGACAGCCCTAGTTTAGGAGCAAGCGACGGCAGTCATTGGGCAAGTAAACTAGTCATGAATGCCTAAAGAAACAATAGAAACGGCGTCTGTGGCAACACAAGAAACACCAGTGTGGGAGGAGCAACAGTGAGAGCAGAAACAATAATTTTGGCATCAGCGTCGGCGACAAGCAACGGGATGGGATATCGTTGTTGGAAGCAGCAAGCAACAGCGAAAACTAGCGGATGCCTACAATGAGTCGGCGGCGATGCTACTGTGATTGCTCAGGCAGTTCCTTCGACTGCTTCCATTGCCTAGAATGCTCCCATGGCTGCTGCCCTTCTTGCAGCAGTCGCAGCACCCATGCAGGTGTTTGCAAAGTGCAGGAACCAGGGAGCAGCAACACCCGTTCGCATCCGAAAACTGGTGAAAACGTGGCTTGTTACATGCTCATTGGCATCGGAGAACTATTACAGCAAACAGCCCTATCGCAGCAGCAAAGCACCTCGAAGTGGGCGAGGTGCAAACCCTCAAGTTTGTGAGTTCGTAGCTGATATAAGTTCGATGCAATTGCCCTCTGTAGCGGCACACCTTTGCATGCATATATTCCGGATAAGACATCACGCGACGGGCTCTGGCGACGGGACCTACATTACAGGTCCGAATAGACCGAGCAACGCTAGGCAGTGGAGAGTTCAGGATTTATTTTTCGTGGCTTGTGCCTTACAGGCGCCAGTACGCCGAGTGGGTGCCAGCACGAGTGGCACACGAACGTCTCTACCTCGATTAAACCCGTCTGATTTCAGTAAGCCCGAAACTCTCTGGCTTCTTCGACTGTATACGAAATTCTTCTTGGCATAGGTGGCGCCGACAACTGTAGCATCGCGAGCAGAAAGTGCAGCATTAGACGCTGGAGGGCCAGCAGCAAAATTGCAAACAGCAATCGCCTTGTGCCTACTTCTCCAGCTATAACAAAGTGTAAAACCTCGTCATTTTCGCAGCGTCGTTTGATATGGTGGCGAAAGATATGGTGGCGGAAGATGGAACGAGAAAAGTGAAGCTTACAGCATCCAGCGACGCAGCCACAGAGATGTGAAAACCAGAGCATCGGGATTAAAGAATGGCGCTGAGAGCACCGCTCAGGATTCAAGGGGCCGTGAATGAGATACTTCTCTTCGAGGCTTTGTCAGCTGATACTTCTCCAGGCTTTGTAAGCAATTTTTTGATGATGGGGAGAAGTCGCGGTGGCACAGTTCCCGGTGCATTGCGATAGTACTTGAAGGCTGAGATTCGGTGCCCCCGAACGCGCAACAGAAAAGAACGCAAGTCGCTGACCGAGGAGCCAGAGGAGTGGCAGCAGAAACGCTCTCCATTGCAGCAGTTGCACAGGGACCTCGAGCAGCAGGACAACTAAGAAACTTTAGTAACAGCTGGAGTAAAACCAAACAGCAGCGGTAGGTGCCACATTGTCAGTGGGAGACCTGGCGTCGAATCATCTTGAGATATGGATGACATAGACCTCATTCTCCAGTATGCGTAACAGCTGGAGCGGCAGCCGCAGAAATCATGTCAAACGAGCTATGGAAGCTACATGCCGGAAACAGCAGCAACAGTACGCAGCACATGTGGTCGCAGCCAGCTGCACTCAAAGCGCACAAAACACAAACAGGAGTACAATGCAGCAGCCAAAACAGCAGCACGACCTTCCTTTCAAGAAGCTCTAGTTAAGCACCCCCTCCTGTTTTTGATGCTTTGCCAATCGTCGCGAGCCAAGTAGAAGGGCTCTTGAAAGAGAATCACAAGGCACTTTGCGAAGCCAGGCGAAAATCACTCTACGCCCTAAGCAGTAAGTCCTAAGCATCGAAGAGAAACCCCGGGTGTAAATATGAAGACCAAGCCGCATACATCACGCTTGTGGCACGAAGATGACCTTAAAACATGCTGTGCTCGTTGTTTCTGAGGCTTCAGGCGCTGATGGCACGTTTTAAGGCCTGCAACTTGGCCGCCCTCATTTGCTGTCTGCTCTGCTGTCGACTTTTCTGGAGTGGAACTGCGCCGCTGCTGCGGTTGCTCCGTTCGGCTCTTGAGAAGCCGGAACGTTCGCTGAAGGGAAGCCGCTCTACCGACAATAGCAAAGCAGAACCAGCAGCCTGATGCGCTGCAAACATGCAGGGACTTCGAGGCGCTCCCACTTAGCAGCACGATGTTTCGTATTGGAGGCATGATGAGACTTGTCGCAGCGCCCGCAGGCGAAAACGGTCTCATGGTTAATGTAACAACACAGGCACCACTGGGAATCAGCACATTGGGAAAGGTGCACTAACCTTTGAAGCAGAAGCAGGAGCCCGCACTATCAAGTGCGGTTTATTTTAGCAACAGCTACGGCGCTCCACTTGGTGACAGCTGCGGTACTTCAATTTTGACCGCTGTTTCCGCGCACTCCGTCTCGTATTTACGTCGCGCTAACACCGCCCCAGTTGTTGCTCATGCTGGGCTGCTAAGCAGCTGCAGCTACAGTACAGCACTGTATGAATATCTTTTCGCATTTATTCATCTCTTGCGCCCACACTGTACCGTTCAGGCAATGCTGGCCTGGACAGTATAGTCCCAACTGCGTGCAATTAAGGGTGTAGGGTCAAGAAAGTCTTTTTTCTGAGTCTTTGGTCTTTTAGAACCCTCACAAATACCAGCAGCAGCTGCAGCTGCTGTCGCAGCAACAAAAGATATGAATGTTTAGAAAGGAGGCATCTCTATCGTTCTGAGGAGTACTTATATTTGCATTCGCGTGTCTATAGACCTTGTGCGCAGTGAGCGCAGCTGCAGTCAAAGCCAAACTCCTCTAATCTCTGTCTCCGTGCTTTTCTTTCTAAGAAGGTAAGGTCTTTAATATACGAGGTGCAGAGTTCTTCTCCTTGTTGAACGTTTCTGGAGGTCCTGAGCAACATCTGGCTTCCACTTGGAGTGTGGGCACACTCCATTTCCATATTCGGGCTGCAACTATGGTTCACTCGGGCAACTGAACAGAAGAACGCCGTTCGCTTCACAGCGGGAAACTCGCGACCTTCACCTACTGGCGGGGGACAGAGCTTAGACAATTGCTGCTGCATGTACACCTGACGCAGCCTATGCAGCTGCATACCTGCTGCTTCCGCTCCTGCTGGTGCGCCTGCGGCGCAGGCTGATAACTCTGATGTGTTCTGGGTGTCCCTATCTGATTCTTCGTCGTTGTATGTGTCACCTTCGTTTTGCTCGCCAAAGAGAGCAGCCAAAACTGTCTCTTTCTCCACAAGCAACAACCGGAGATCCTCTGAGTTCTTGGCAGAGGGCAGCATCGAACAAAAGCCGAAAAATGAATTAAGAGGGTTGGGCGTGTCGAGATCTGAGTTACAGTGCTCGAAAAGCGAGAGAAGCTTAGAAACAAGGGACGGTGATACTAGGTGCGCATATACCCCAGACGCCTCCTGCAGACCCAGCAGCAGCAACTTAGCCCCTCTTTCCACAATCTCCGCGCGGCTGAGTTCTCGTTCCCCTGTGGCCTCATCATCTATTTCTTCTTCGGTCGCTGGAGGTCGATGCTCTAAATCTGTATTGGCCTTCTCCTCTTCTTGCCACAGCTCGTGCTGGTGTTCTAGCAACAACCGTAGCAGCTGCATGGCACCTGTAACAATGTCGGCATCATTTACTCCTAGTCCTTGTGCAATTGTAGAATTGCAAGATGCAGCTGCTGCTGTTGCTGCTGAAACAATTGCTGCAGCAACCAGGAGGAGGTTCTCACAATGCTCTACTGCGAAACGCTTGAATGCCACAAGGGCATCCCCTTCATTCATCCTCCCCACACAAAGTTGATGATGTATGAAGTCGCTCTGTAGGCATTTCGCAGAACAAAAGGCCTCTCCGCAGCCTCCAGGGCAAGGTATCGTTTCCTTTTGCACATTCTGTTGCTGACACTCGTGTTGCTCTTT